CCGTTAAAATGCCCAAATTTACAGCAGAAAAAATGTTTACAGCCTGGAACAAAAAGTGGTTTTGGTCTATATAGCTAATTTTGCCCTTCATGACAACTGTGAGGGGGGTGAATTTTTTTTAGAACTCATCCATTTAAATTATATTAAGCCTTAAAGTTCTGCAAAATTAAGGGCGTGGCCACTTGAGTGACAGGTGGATTGCCGCTGTCGTCACCACCGTCTAGGCGGGTTTTGCTCAATTTTGCCCTCTTTGCCCATTTTTGATTATCCAGGAGTGATGCACGATGATGCGCTGCCAAGATGGCGATGGCCCGTTTCGCCCACTTTAGGCTTAAAAAATGCTCTTCAGAAATCTACGGGTGATGTCACAGACTGTATAAAAACATGGATGTAGTGTCCATGTAAATAACCTATTAATGTTATTAATAATAACCATAACAGTATTATTATTTATATGTTATTCAACAACAACAATCATCATCCTTTATTGAAAAAAAAACATTATTATTATTATTATAATATTGCCATTATTATCACTTAGAGATGAAGTCCCTTTTGTGTCTACAGTTTAAAGTCACAAGGTAGATAAAGGTTGTGTAATATATAAAACAGTTTAAAGTTAAACTTTCAGCTAAATTAATCATACCATGAAAGATACTATTACAGTGAAATAAAATTACTTAAGAGTTAGTTCAAACCACCCACCACTACTTTTCAGTAGAGATCGACCGATATATATACCGATATTTTTCCCGATATTTAAGCATTTTACCATAATCGGATATCGGTTTTGTAATATCGGATTCACTGATAAACGCCACCATCTTGTGGGTGCTTTGAGAATTGCGCACAGGATTGCCATTGCAGCATGTCTGAGGGGAGACAAGACAACAACGGCATGGTGCAGGTACTTGATTTGCTGTATTTAGTAAACTTTATTTAACATAACAGCCATTTATGCACAAATTAGATGCATTACAAAAATGCCTGATATGTAGTTTATGCAGCTTGGCTCTAAGAAATAGAGACCAACTCACGGAGTCATGTAAAATAATCAGTCAAGTCCTGTCCCAATAAAGACGTAACTTTGCCTGAATTAAATAATATGCAGCCATGAATGAGCGCATGTTGGAAATAATAGCGCTGCATTGAATTCTTCCTCTGTTGTCTTTGCTCATCGTTAGTCTCGTGAAGTCGAGTCACGTAGATAATCCGTCAAGATCCACTCCCAGTAAAGACATAACTTTGCATTAGTTAAATAATACAGCCATGAATGAGCGCATGTTGGAAATAAAAGCGCTGAATTTAATTCTCTCTGTTGTATATTTGCTCATCATTATTCTTGTGAAACCACTTTCATATTACCGTTCACTCAGCGGGTTGATGAGGTTGATGCTTGTTTAAAACACCCTAAATTGTATTAACATTTACTATATAACCATTATTTCGCTAATAAACATCTAAATAAATACAACTATGGAAATTCATTATCTCCGCGTGCGATCGCAGTTTGAGTATAATTCTGTGTAACTGCATAGATAAACCGCCCTATCAGCAGGCATTTCATAATCTAGAAAGACAAAAACATTATTAATAATTCTGATATAACATTCCAGTTGAGAAATGCAATAAAATACGATGTTTTGTTTGTTATATTCCAATATTCCAGAGAATATTATTCAGAGAATTAACATTATCCAGTGAATTATTCTTGACTCTTATACCTACTAAAACTGCAGTTTAAAATGAAGTTGATATGACCTGTCCTTTATTTATTTTCTCCATTTGAAAACATCATAGACATTCTACATTTAATTTGCTTACTGTTAATATTAGTGTTGTTGCCATGTTTTTTACTGTTGTAATGTGAAGATTAAATTTAACATGAAAGACTGCTAATTTTCAACACTTTCAAAAAAAAAAAAAGTTGACTGAAAAGAGAAAAAACCAAAGTGAAATATGTTCTTACTTCACTCAGTCATTTATTTACTTTATAACAGTAAATAAATATAGTTTCTGCATATCGGTTATCGGGCATGTAAACATGCAAATAATTGGTATCGGTATCAGTTATAAAAAATCAATATCGGCCGATCACTACTTTTCAGTTATCAGCCCAAATCTTTAAACACTAGTCCACACCACCGGGCCCATGGGTGGCCTGCTCACCCTTATCTTTGTCTGTGCAGTGAATGGTGAAGAAGTCTATGACACGCGAGGTGAAGTCCAGGGTGACGTGGTTGCTGTCCTGGAGGATGGTTAAGCAGTGTCTGTCTCCATAGCTGGCTCTGGGCATACCGCCACTGAACAACACTAGAGGAGCTCTACAGACACAACAGAGGAGACCCCTCCTGAGAGAACTAAAACATGCGATCATGGGATTTCATTTCTCACACATTACTGCACGCACCCTGATTCTGTTGTCCTCCACAGGATCTTGTTCACGGCTTTGCAGGGAAAGGGGCCTGAGATGAATAACACAAAAATGAGGAAAACAGAACGACAAACTGAGTTTAAGAGAACCCACCAAAACTACAGAAATCTTGGCAGAGTACATGTTGAAAATTGGAAAATATCTGTAGATCCCCCAAGCGGTTTGTGTCAATAACCATCAAGCTAAAAGTGAGTGCATTTGAGGTTTACGATCCCTTTAATAGGTCTGGAGAAGGATTTTAAATGGCCTATTACAAAAGTTGAACGGACGCTAAGCTTTGGTATAGAACAACATTTCCTGATATTGTGCAAGTTAAGCAAACATTACAGCATGACCAGCCGTCTATGAGCTTGTGGCAACTGGAATTATTATAAATGCATAAAAAACAACCCAAAACGTGCGTTTACATGCATGTTAAATGTTTGATTTCAGTCGGAATAGCTAGTCTTTTTAAAATGTAAACGCATTAGTCTGACTTGTACTAGACCTGGACCATGCGATTGTAGCTCGGCTTTGTCCAACATGTATTTACATTAATCGGACAACAATTAGCCTCAATTTTGGGTTAGTAAGATTTTTCTTAATGGTTTTGAAAGATATCACTTACACCCACGAACGCTCCATTTATTTGATCAATAATACAAAAAAAAAAAACAGTAATATTGTTAAATATTATTACAAAGTGAAAGTCACATTTTATTTGACTTATTAATCGGACAACAATTAGCCTCAATTTTGGGTTAGTAAGATTTTTCTTAATGGTTTTGAAAGATATCACTTACACCCACGAACGCTCCATTTATTTGATCAATAATACAAACAAAAAAAACAGTAATATTGTTAAATATTATTACAAAGTGAAAGTCACATTTTATTTGACTATATTTTAAAATGTAATTTATTCCGGTGATGCAAAACTTTTCAGCATCATTACTCCAGTCTTCAGTGTAACATGATCCTTCAGAAATCATCCTAATATCCTGATTTCCTGCACGAGAAACATTTCTTATTATCAATGCTGAAAACAATTGTGCTGCTTAATATTTTTGTGGAAACTGTAAAAAAAATGTTCAGGATCCTCTGACGTATACAAAGTTCAAAAGAACAGCATTTATCTGAAATAATCGTTTATACTGTCACTATCTGATCAATTTAATCCAACCTTGCTAAATTAAAAAGTAAAAAAAAATTTAAAGGGGTCCTATTATGCTTTTTCACTTTTTCAACTTTAGTTAGTCTGTAATGTTGCTGTTTGAGCATAAAAAAGATCTGCAAAGTTACAAAGCTCAAAGTCCACTTCAAAAGGAGATATTTTATTTAACAGAAATCTACAGACACAACAGAGACCCCTCCTGAGAGAACTAAAACATGCGATCATGGGATTTCATTTCTCACACATTACTGCACGCACCCTGATTCTGTTGTCCTCCACAGGATCTTGTTCACGGCTTTGCAGGGAAAGGGGCCTGAGATGAATAACACAAAAATGAGGAAAACAGAACGACAAACTGAGTTTAAGAGAACCCACCAAAACTACAGAAATCTTGGCAGAGTACATGTTGAAAATTGGAAAATATCTGTAGATCCCCCAAGCGGTTTGTGTCAATAACCATCAAGCTAAAAGTGAGTGCATTTGAGGTTTACGATCCCTTTAATAGGTCTGGAGAAGGATTTTAAATGGCCTATTACAAAAGTTGAACGGACGCTAAGCTTTGGTATAGAACAACATTTCCTGATATTGTGCAAGTTAAGCAAACATTACAGCATGACCAGCCGTCTATGAGCTTGTGGCAACTGGAATTATTATAAATGCATAAAAAACAACCCAAAACGTGCGTTTACATGCATGTTAAATGTTTGATTTCAGTCGGAATAGCTAGTCTTTTTAAAATGTAAACGCATTAGTCTGACTTGTACTAGACCTGGACCATGCGATTGTAGCTCGGCTTTGTCCAACATGTATTTACATTAATCGGACAACAATTAGCCTCAATTTTGGGTTAGTAAGATTTTTCTTAATGGTTTTGAAAGATATCACTTACACCCACGAACGCTCCATTTATTTGATCAATAATACAAACAAAAAAAACAGTAATATTGTTAAATATTATTACAAAGTGAAAGTCACATTTTATTTGACTATATTTTAAAATGTAATTTATTCCGGTGATGCAAAACTTTTCAGCATCATTACTCCAGTCTTCAGTGTAACATGATCCTTCAGAAATCATCCTAATATCCTGATTTCCTGCACGAGAAACATTTCTTATTATCAATGCTGAAAACAATTGTGCTGCTTAATATTTTTGTGGAAACTGTAAAAAAAATGTTCAGGATCCTCTGACGTATACAAAGTTCAAAAGAACAGCATTTATCTGAAATAATCGTTTATACTGTCACTATCTGATCAATTTAATCCAACCTTGCTAAATTAAAAAGTAAAAAAAAATTTAAAGGGGTCCTATTATGCTTTTTCACTTTTTCAACTTTAGTTAGTCTGTAATGTTGCTGTTTGAGCATAAAAAAGATCTGCAAAGTTACAAAGCTCAAAGTATTTTGGGTTAGTAAGATTTTTCTTAATGGTTTTGAAAGATATCACTTACACCCACGAACGCTCCATTTATTTGATCAATAATACAAACAAAAAAAACAGTAATATTGTTAAATATTATTACAAAGTGAAAGTCACATTTTATTTGACTATATTTTAAAATGTAATTTATTCCGGTGATGCAAAACTTTTCAGCATCATTACTCCAGTCTTCAGTGTAACATGATCCTTCAGAAATCATCCTAATATCCTGATTTCCTGCACGAGAAACATTTCTTATTATCAATGCTGAAAACAATTGTGCTGCTTAATATTTTTGTGGAAACTGTAAAAAAAATGTTCAGGATCCTCTGACGTATACAAAGTTCAAAAGAACAGCATTTATCTGAAATAATCGTTTATACTGTCACTGTCTGATCAATTTAATCCAACCTTGCTAAATTAAAAAGTAAAAATTTTTTTAAAGGGGTCCTATTATGCTTTTTCACTTTTTCAACTTTAGTTAGTCTGTAATGTTGCTGTTTGAGCATAAAAAAGATCTGCAAAGTTACAAAGCTCAAA